GGGGGGGGGGCGGAGAACAGGACAGGCGGCCTGGAAGATCCTGTGAGCCTTTTCACAAGGTCAATCCGGTCTTGAGATCTGGTGATCTCTGTCAATGGCAGGGCCCCAAGAGAAGCGGATCACAACCCACTGGTGGGGTGGGTGGGTGGGTGGGTGGGTGGCATCATGGTGTAAGTCTTCAACCCAGCCTTGGTCCACGACCTCAGGAGGCATTTGAAGCTGCTGTGATTCCTTGTGATTCACCCAGAAGCAAAAGCAGCACAATTTGCGGCTGAGGGGTGTTGCAGATGCCCTGACCTGACAATGCCCCCCAATTGCAGATCCCCACCCCTGCTGGTCAGAGTGCCCGCTGCCCCTGGCACACGAGGCCTGCCCTGGCCTCACCCCGGGCACCCTCCCACGGGCATCGGCTCTGAGCGGCCGGTGGCCCTGCCCTGCCCCTGCAAAGCGGCTTCCTCCCGGGGCTATTTCTGCCTCAGGACAGGGAGTGACGTGCGGCTGCTAATCCCTAAAGCCTGAAGGGACCGGCTCAGCCGCAGAAAAGCCCAGAAATCGGCAGCTCAGCAGTGGGAGGGGCACCCTGCCCCACTCTTCTGCCTGCTGAGGGTCTGCAGCTGCCCTGGGGAGGCCGTTGGGGGTCCCACCCATTAGCCAAAATGTAGCAGACTTTGAGGTTTTTGCCATCCAAATTTTACAAGCGTCTGTTGTCTCAACCACCCAAAATTCCTCCTCCTGGGCTTTGCCAGCTTCCCAGAGAGTTTCGCTTATTCATTTCTCTTCCTAAGCTGCCCGATGCCACCCGTGGGCAGTCGGGGAGGGAGGGAGGCAGAAGCCTGCCCCATTACCCCCCTCCCCCCACAGCCCATCTGCTTGGCTCCAAAGCTGGAGCCAGGGCTGGGCTGGACCAGGGGATGCTAGAAGGACCCAGGATGCCTCCCCGAACTCAGCCCTCCACCCCAACCGAGAAGGGAGGCCTTGGAGAGCTACACAGCCACCGGTACCTCCCTCCCCTCCAAGGGAGCTACGCAAACAGCAGCCACCGTGGTTGCTGGGCCCCAAGGCTGTTTTGCTGGCTGTGGGGAGTCCCTGGGGGTGTAATTACCTAGGCAGGTTGTTCAAGGCAACAGGTTGTGTCTGTGTGTGTGTGTGTGTGTGTGTGTGNACCCACCCTTTGGGAATCTCTGCACCAAGCCTCTCATCAACCTGCACGGTGGCTCAGCTGCAGGAAGGTTTGGGGTGCAAAAACCAGGGATGGGGGGGGGGGAATCAAGGTGGGTTCAGACGAGATGCGAGTCCAGGCAGAAATAGGACTGGTAGTTTATGTCAAGATAGGTTTGGCTTGGCGGGTTACCCTTCGTCAGCTGGTTGTAGGATTAACTACGTTGTGTGAGCCCAGCCACAGTGGGGGCAAGAGGGCTTGAAACTCGGGGCCACCCACAGGCAGGGTCTTCCCTTCAAGGCAGCCCACTTGGGAGCCCCCTCCTTGCAGCTCCGTGGACCAGGAGCAGCCCACTAGCACCCAAACCACACCGTGGACTGTCCCCCTGCCTGCTGTGCCAAGGAGCGTGGCCTGCCGTGAACCCTTTGGACGGGCAGGGTCAAACTCCCGGCCATCAGTAAACCTTGGCAGGGGTTGTTTGTGCCAGCCGCTGGGCTCCCGTGTCCTTCCCGGCTGGACGGAGCGCCAGGCAAACAAACCCCTCGGCACAAACTCCAGGCGTCGTGTTGTTGTTTTTGTAAGCTGCCGAGAGTCCATCCGAGTGGGCAGCAGCAGCAGCAGCCACGGACCGTCTGGGTCAGCAGGCCTGCAGGAACCCATTGGGGAGATGCCCCCTTTCTCTGCCGCCCTGTGGAGGCTGAATTGGGGGTGAATGGAAAACAGAGAAAACATTGCCAGTATTTGAATAAGGTCTGAAACTTTGCTCCCCTTGAAAATCAGCCCAAGAGCAAGTCGGCAGGATTCCACTCTCAGGCCAGGTGGGGGGAACCTTGGGAGTTAATCCTA